AGAGCATATCCCTTTGTCCATGCATTGAACAATTTGTCAGGTGATGCGACGACAAACTCACAATAGTGCGATGTAAGAAAGGCCCTCACTATGGCCTTCTTCTCCTCAAGTTTGGTGTCGGTGATGTCTGGAAGGAGTGGCATACCCTCCCCATCCATTTCGAGTTCGAAGGCTGGTTTTCGAATTCGTTTTCGACCTCCCTTGACCTGACGTCCTCCATCCTGTGCCCCGGCGCCTATCATTGTGATGCTCAACATGTTCAATCTGGTATACATGGTTCACACACTCACTGAACTGTTCCTGCGCATACTCCTGCCACACTGGCTCAATGTCCTCCCAGTCCTTCGTCTTCATGAAGCTGTCCCCATCTTCTAAGGCCTCATTATCATCATGCCTGCATGAATATTTTGAGACAAAAGATCTCCGTCAATGGATAAATGTACTCACATCCCGAACAGCACCTTGCCCTTTTCATTCTTCCAAGCCGACATCACAAACACTCTCATCCCACATTGCCTCCACATCTCATTCGAAAAGTGCTCCATATATGCCGGACCCTTCTTATGAGCAACTTGTGCTTGTATCTCCGGAGGCGGACAGTTGTTGGACCACTCTTCGGCTGTTTCTTTAGCCTTCTCTAACTCGTCGTCGTCCAATTCAGCCATGACTCTCTTCACTGCCACCTGATAATGTTTGAACATACCAGGATCTCCTGGCTTTACCCCAGACTCATCCTCAATCCTCTTCAGCACCTCTTCACGTTTCTGCTGGTAGACCACCATCCTGGGCATCCATTTCCTCCCATACTTGATCATGTCCTTCCTTTCCTTCTTTTTCTTGTTGTTGAACAACCAAGTCTTGTACACCTAAGAGTTGATGAAAGAATGTGACGTTAAAAATTTAGTTTTTCAGCACAACAAAGAAGCCTCACCTGCTTCCTCTTTTTCCATTGTTTTTGGTCCAACTTCGGAGCAAACAACCTGGCCGCCCTTGCTATGGCAGTGAAAATCGCTCGCTTCTCACTCCTTTTGGCAGCAGTCCACTCAGGAAGGTAGTTCTTCAACTCCAAAATCTCCTTGTCCGTGAGCTTCTGAGACTGTGGTTGACGCATCCTGTGTCTTCCGGAAGTCGTGTTGGTGGAATGACCTGTTCTTGCCATACTGAATCAGAATGCAGAAATGTCTAAGGATTTGCAAGGTGGAAGTATTAATGAATTGTGCAAAGTTGAACTTTGTGCAAAGCCTAATGATAGGTTAATCGGCCCATATTGGACCCTGAGCCATTAATGGAAATGAATTTGTAATGAGCCAACAGGACTGCACCGCATCATATTGCAATAACAATTCATTACACCTGAGCTGATGCCTTGCGTGCAACATTAATAAACAAGATGAAGATAGGTAGATGCACCCCAGTGCAAAAATCTCACAGGGTGGAAGCAAGGGGCAGCAAAGGTAGGAAGACTTGGGTCAAGGTCCCACTTGCAAGCACGAGGCGACATGCCTACAGGTCCATGCCTAACTCTCCCCCAGAATCACCAACAATTCAGCCTGTTGAGGCACCACCTCCTTGGGAAGACTTTCCTGACAATACTTACGAGCAGGACCAAGGCTCATTTGAGCCTTTGCAACTCCCAAAAACCATGGCAAGTTCATGTACAATGTTGGAGTGTCATTCAAACTATGGCTAAGCATTCAAAAATACAGAGTCAAAATGACTACCTCAGGCAATGGCTGCCAAGGCAGGAATCATATCTACATCACCTCCTCGATTGAGAAGCTCCACCCGAAGACAGGAGATGCATCATCTGCCAACAGGATGGGGTATACAAATGTCAAGATTGTCTTGGCGAGCCACTTTATTGCACAGGCTGTTGCAGGAGTCAACATCGTAGCAATCCTTTCCACTGGATCAGTCAATGGAATGGGCGATTCTTCGAGCGGAGTTGTCTAGCTCATGTGGGACTCATTATATACCTTGGCCATGATGGCAAACAATGTCCGGCGGTCACCGATCAGTGGAATTTGTTTGAAGAAGATGAACCCGAAGACCTGCTCAAGCCTGAAGATCTGCCATTTGTGTCCAGACCCGAGTTCTAGCCAAAGGAAAACACCATGGTCATTGTCGACAAGTCCGGAGTTCATCGCCTGGAGGTTTGATGCTGTGAATGTCCGAATGCCATGAGTCCAGACATTCAAATGTTTCAACACAGATTTTTCCCTGCATCTTTTAACAGGCCAAAGACTGTGTTCACCTTCAGAGTGCTCAATGATTTTCTACTGGACAGCCTTGAATGCGGCACCTCGGCGATGAACTATTACAGCAAGCTCCGGCGAATGACCTCCAGCATGTTTCCACACCTTGTTCCAGTAATGCCTTACCCTCATGATCTACTGGACATCATATTGACAAAGCACATTGCAAGGACCGATACAGAGAGCTCATGAGGGTCGCTTGACAGTGGAGGCAGTTGAAGACAATGAAATGGCATGGCTTTGGCCATCGTTCTGATAACCCGAGCACAGGAGAACTTGCATTATTTTGCCCAGCATGTCCTCAGCCTGGGATTAATGTGCTGTTGTCAGAGGATGAATCTCTTGATGAGTGAGTCCTATTCTCAACCTATGTGGCCTCCATAATAATACTAGGGATCCAAGCTGGAAATACACCCGGTCATTTGTGATAGACGGAAATTTCAAAGCTGAACATCTGCATCCCATTAAGCCATTCGATGAAGTTTGGCTGTCCAATGGGCTTGGATTCATGGTAGGAAAGGACAGGTATAAAATGCATCTGGCAGAGGCTGCTGACACAGTGGAAAAATCAAGCTGCAACAATCACCGGGCAGTAAATCAAGCTAATGCTGCTCAGCACAAGCTGGAGTCCACCGGTATCAGGGGAGTTGCCTGTGCCAGACACTGTTGCTTTGTCCCTCACTCCATGGTGGATTTTCAGAAAGGCAAAAGGCAAGCCACATCCACCATTCCCCATTCACGAGTTAACCATGGGGGGTCACTTGCAGACAAATGAACATGGACTACGCTCTTTGTGAGGCTTCCCGGCACAACATGGAAGGCATCACCAGGGCTGTCACCTTCTATGATATTAATTGTCAATACAACAAACACTTTCAGGTTCGGGTGGATCAAAGTTGATTTCTAGAAATGGCACCACAACTAACCATCATTCCCGGAATTGGGTTATGACATGTTCATGGCCATCAGGACAGCTGCTATGTCTGATATGCTTCCAACTTTATTGAAGGCATTGGTCAGATCGATGGAGAGATCATGGAGACGCTATGGGCATGGCTCAATCTGATCTCCCCTGCTGCTCGGGGAATGTCATCTCCCCACCGAAAGGAATGCCTTGATTATCAGATGAATGACTCCAATTTCTGCAAGATGATTCGCATGAAAAGGACTCTATGCCGGAAATACAAACTGGCTAGGAATGGTATCTTAGAAAGTGGAAAGGCATTCGACAGACTCGATGAAGCAGCACCCTCACATTTGAAGACAGAATGGTTAGCCAGGGAGAGGATAGCTCAGTCAAGCAGATTGAATGATCCTTCAGCCATGGATGAATATGAGATCAATATCAAAAAGGGTACATTGAGTTCCATTGTCTCCATCGAGGTCTGAATTAATATTGCACTCAGCACCTAGCAAAAAGGAGATCGAGCTTAGATTGTTAGAGGAGGGTAACGCCCGCAATGCAGCACCCTCTCGCAGATCTGTGGCGACATGGATATCAACAGGGTTAGCAATTGAAGAGGCTCAGATTGCATTGCTCATCGAGGTCCGAAGGATCGGAAGAAGATCCACCAAGACACAGAGATTAGACATCGCCCGTCAACGAGATCAGCTCCAAGGCCAGATAGATGGATTTGCTCGGTCTGCTCTAACACATCTCGGGGAGGGATTTGATGCAGATGATGAACCTGAGGACTTGGACGTAGACATTCTAGATGATCTCGATGATGACCCGGCGGATTTCACAGAGACATCTCATACATGGACAAACTCTCCTGAGCTCACTGTAATCACATTGCCATCAAACCTGGGGGTTGATAGATGCAGACGATGCATGGCAGAGGATCTGATTCCCCTGGAGATGTCGCTTTGTGAAGGGCAGGCCAATGATGCCCTTCACAATCTCCACATTTACCTTTGCAACAAGGCCATCCTGTTCCGAACAACTGTTAGGCAGGCCAAATCCCAGGCCCTAAAAACTCGAGCTTGGTCCCAGGTGACGTCAGTGCAGCAGGCAGTCTCCCTCCATGCCAGCATATATACAAAGACAAGGAAGCAAATGATGAAACTTGAGCCGGGGCAAGACCAGCTTCAGAAATACAAACCCCTGCTTCGCGAGCAACTCAAAATCAGCACTGCAGTGGGAGACCCAAATGCCTGAGGTCAACAAAATGAATCTTTGACTTGGTTTTGGTCTGTTGAAGTCGACCTCGGGGGTCCTGATCAATTGTGGAATGAGGAATGTGAGTTCCTGCTTGCATGTCATATCCCGCGGTTACCTGACTGGACCCATGCCAAGTTTACCGAGTCCATTGGCTGAGGGCAAAGGCACTATGGGATCGATGGAGAGAGGAAATGCTATTGGTCAAATTGGAGATGGATTGGACATGTAAGTTCTTTTTGTGGAAAATAACCCAATGGGGCGAGCACATGCAGGAATCATTGGAGAAACAACTTCCGGGTCACAGATGCTACGCCGGAAGGCAATCCCAAATGTATTCATTGCTGGCACAGGATGTGCAGGCAGCTTTTCAAGACCTACAAAATGTGTTGATAGAGGCTGGAGATGAATGGACATTGTTTTATCATGAAGTCCCTTTTTCCACATACATAATTGAGGCCTGGGAATTGTCCGGGTCAGCCCATGTTGGAGTTTGAATTTCGTATCCATCCATCAGTGATTGTTATCTTCACATCTTCACCATCTTTCACTTGTATTGCCAGCACCATAGTCCTGTATTAGCCATGTCTGCATCTCATGCATCCACTTCTGGCACTCTGAATGCTGGAAGTCATTACCGACCCCTGAAGCTGAGCCTTGCAACTATTTCCTGCACATTGGCAATGGCTGGATCTCGCGTCCGTGCATGCATCTCTCAATATTGGACGGAAGCTGCCAACAATGGTCTATCTTCTGACCGGATCAAGTATTTTAAAGCTGGGCTGCAATGGGAGATGAATGTATGTCACCACTGCCCTGATGACTTTGTTGGTCAATGCTAAGAATGTGAGCAGACTTTTGTCACACCACTCCTGCAGTACTCCGCTTCACAGAATATCATGTCGGTGGTTCTGGTCCCTGTCGCTTATATCCTTAAGTTGTATCCCATGCTAACCTGGAACACGGTTCCGGACAACGTCTTTTCATTCCACCTCCTTTCATTTCATGATGAGCCAATTGCAGGACATCCGTCCCAGATTGTGTTCGCATATACATGTCCATGGTGGATGGGAAACACCACAATCCCTGATCAACCATGGCAGCACAGTTGCCGAGCTCCAGGTCACCGAACCCCAACCTCCGAAATTCAGGACTCGGGACCCGGGGTTCGGCACTCAGGACTCAGAGCTCGTGACCTGGGACTTGACACTGTTCTGAATACTGAGTCCCTGATCCCTGATTCCATATTCACCCTACATCAACCATGAAACGCAAAATACTGACACATGCTATCTCCAATGCCCCGGATGCCCTGACACCCAACACAGTTGCCAAGCTCCAGGTCGCCAAACCCTGACCTCCAAAATTCAGGACTCGGGACCTGGGCATCCAGGACTCGGTATTCAGAACAGTGTCGAGTCCAGAGTCCACAATGTCGGGGTTCAGGGTTTTGTCAAATGTGTATGGCAATGACAAATGTTAATTCGAGCATATTTATACATCTTCCCCCAGTCTCAAATATCACTTGCTGAGGTCCGGGTGTCAGGACTCAGTACCCTGGCACTCGGGACTCCCATATGTCAAGTCCCGAGTTCCAATTATCGAATACCGAGGCTTGCATCCAAATTATTCAGTCCCACATATCACTTTGGAAATGCTCAAAATTGAGTATTGAGGTCCGGATCACAATTGGTACATGGTATTCATTTGTTGGAATATATATAGGTCACAATGCTTGCTCTTTGTTTGATCTTTCACACGCTGTATGGACCATCCACACTAGCCCATCCACATGATGAAACACCAGCATAAATGTGAACAGCATCCCTCATATACCATGCCCAAGCAATCCGATCCCCTTCCACATTATAAACTCCATGTCTCACAATCCTTCCGGAAAATGCAATCATACAGCCGGAATTGTACTTGAACTCCAGCTGAAGGTTTGGCATTGTCATCTGAGCATTAGAATAGTTCCCCACAGTGGTGAGAATGTCGAAGCATTCAGAAATGGACATGTGGTCTCGATGATGGGGGGTTTCCTGATTGGAAATGATGGAGAGGGTGTTAAACACAGATGCCCAGTACTGCAGGGCCTCCAGCATCTATGGCAGATCCTTGCTTACTGCTATATTTCCAAGGTTTGACAAGGTTCTCAACCCTGCCCAGTACTGCTCAGGATGCATGACTCTGAGTGCCGCGGACGCGATGGCTGCTGGCCTTGCAATGGCTTTGAGGATATTCTCTCAGGAAGGTCCCTTCAATGATGCAGATACCTCTGGATCGGACACATTCTTTGAGATTGGTAAGTATGACTGCCGGAATCACCATCTCATCGGATCCTACCTCGTGTCCCTGTTGAAACCATGCCGGAGATAGATTGATGCATCCGGGAGTTGCTCCAACATCTTCCGAGCCCTGGTTGAACAACCTTTGATTAGTTTACCAATTGCCATCAGCCCTTACACTTTTTTCAAGGCTTGGAGCGAGCAAATCGGTGGCCTCCCTAATTTCCTTCTGTAGGTTCCATTAATATTCGATATCCATCGAGTAACAATGTATATTACACACCTGGGTGGTGTCTGTCAGGGCGTCTGGGAGATACCATGCAATGATGGCACCAGATGCATCACGAATTATGGCAGGTTCATCGACCAACCTTTTGCCTTCATGGCCAGGAGGACACCTCTCAAGCAACCTCACCTCTCTATGTTCATTATGCCCAGTGTCCTTTGGGGAGATCAATTTGCTATATCTTGCAATATCCATCTGCATCTGAACTGTCATGCAGGAATTTGAATGATAAAACGAATTTTCTGAATCTGCAGGAAGACCCACTGGGATTTTTAGATGCCTTTATGAGTACATCAGCCAAGCAATCACACGCCATCACCAGATCAGTGTCTAGGTTGGGGGAAGGTATGACCGGGCCTCCTCCAGTCTTCTCTGCCTTGAATTTCTGTTCAGTATATTCCCCTGCTTCATAAGTCACAGTCAGGGCCCAAGTGCACCAGATGTTTATGCTATCAGGAGGGGAAGGGGAAGAACCGTTCATGCTGGATGTTAATCTTGGGAAATCAGATGCTGAATGCTGGATGTCCGGACTTTGGTGTTATAGGGGATGGAGATAGAGAGGATCAGATAAGGGAGCCTTGGATAATTTTGGCTGTCAAAGATGTATTATTATCCATTGCTCAATGAAATACTACCTGATTGGAAGTGTGCTGGTCATCAGATATACATTTGTCAACTCCCGGGTCCCGGAACTCGGAAGTCGGTACGGTTGACCCATATTTGGGTGGTCGGAATTTGGTGTCTTGTAGGGCAACACAAGCTTTGCACAGCCATATCAGGAGATCACCTGCTGCTCCAGGAACTCGATAACTGTGATTTATTACCTCCTCTGAGTAAGGTTGACTCACTGGTCATCAGATATTCATTTGTCGACTCCCGGGTCCCAGAACTCGGAAGTCGGTACGGTTGACCCATATTTGGGTGGTTGGAATTTGGAGTCTCGTAGGGCAACACAAGCTTCGCACAGCCATGTCAGGAGATCACCTACTGCTCCGGGAACTCGGTAACTTTGATTTATTACCTCCTCTGAGTATGGTTGACTCACATCTTGGTGGTCGGAACTTGGCTTCTCATAGGGCAACACAAGCTTCGCACCCCATATTCCACATTCTGCAAGACAACCTAAGCACCATCAAAGGCCATGTCAAGAGAGCACCTGCTGCTCTCTTCAGAAACATCTCAACTTCGGTTGGCCATTTAACACGGAAAGTATTAACTAAATTATGTGTTGAGTTCCGGGTCCCGGAACTTGGTACAGTTGACTCCAATTCTGGTGGTCAGAACTTGGCTTCTTGTAGGGCAACACAAGCTTCGCACCCCGGATTCCACATTCTGCAAGACAACCTGTGCACCATCAAAAAGTATCAACTAACTTATGTGTTGAGTTCTGGGTCCCAGAACTCGGAACTTGGCGTCTCGTAGGGCAACACAAGCTTCACACTGCCATGTCAGGAGATCACATGATGCTCCGGGAACTTGGTAACTTTGATTTATTACCTCCTCTGATTTGGTTGATGTACAACTACCTCAGCTCCATCATGTCTACAATTATGATACACATGGGCCCACCCATCTATATTGTATACCACCCTCGGCCCACCGGTCTAATTAATATGCATCTGGGCCCACCCGTATAATACAATATTTTATAATACCCTTGGCCCACCCATCTAATTTGATATGTGTCTGGGCCCACCCGTGAATGTGATAACAAGTACCTACCCATCTATCTCATACACATCTACCTTAATACACCCATCTGCATAATATCCAGCTACCTCAGCCCACCCGTCTACCTAATATTCATTTACATCGGCCCACTCATCTACTCTATATATTCCCTGCATGGGCCCACCCACCTCCATCAGGAATAATTTGCCTCCCAGCCTATCTGTCATAGTCGAGGATATTTTTATCATGGGCCCATGGTCCGCTGGCCCGTATCATATGGGATATTATGCACGTCCGTTCCCTCATATTATACGGAGATAGGTCACTGTAATATGTGTCAGAGCTCGGAACTCAATGATCTGTGTAATATAAATGAAAAATCAACATGTTGCATGCCGGGTTTCAAGTTTTGGGGTTCAGCACTCAAAACTTGGTGATTTGTGCAACAAGTAAAAAATGGACATGTTGTGCACATATTTTCGGGGTTCGGGTCTTGGACCTCGGACCTCGGAACTCAATGATTTGTGTGATGTAAATGAAAAATCAACATGTTGCATGCCGGGTTTCAAGTTTTGTGTTTCCGCACTTGAAACTCAGTGATTTGTGCAACAAGTGAAAAATGGACATGTTGTGCACATATTTTCAGGGTTCGGGGTTCGGGTCTCGGACCTCGGACCTCAGAACTCAATGATTTGTGTGACGTAAATGAAAAATCAACATGTTGCATGCCGGGTTTCGAGTTTCTGGTTTCAGCACTCAAAACTCAGTGATTTGTGCAATGAGTGAAAAATGGACATGTTGTGTACATATTTTCGGGTCTCGGGGTTCGGGTCTCGGACCTCGGACCTCGGAACTCAATGATTTGTGTGATGTAAATGAAAAATCAACATGTTGCACGCCGGGTTTCAAGTTTTGGGTTTCAGCACTCAAAACTCGGTGATTTGTGCAATGAGTGAAAAATGGACATGTTGTGTACATATTTTCGGGTCTCGGGGTTCGGGTTTCGGCCCTCGGAGCTCGGAACTCAATGACTTGTGTAATATAATTGAACAATGGACATGTTGCATGCTGGGTTTCGAGTTTTGGGTTTCGGCACTTGAAACTCAGTGATTTGTGCAACAAGTGAAAAATGGAAATGTTGCATACATATTTTCGGGTCTCGGGCTTCGGGTTTCGGCACTTGGCACTTGGCACTTGGTTATTTGTGTGATATAAATGAAAAATCAACATGTCGCACACTGGCTTTCCAGTTTCACGCTTTGGCACTGGAAACTCAGTGATTTGTGCAGTGAGTAAAAAATGGACATGTTGTGTACATATTTTCGGGTCTCGGGGTTCGGCCCTCGGCCCTCGGCACTCGTAACTCTATGATTTGGGTTATATAAATGAAAAATCAACATGTTGCACACTGGGTTTCAAGTTTCACGCTTTGGCACTCAAAACTCGGTGATTTGTGCAACAAGTGAAAAATGGAAATGTTGCATACATATTTTCGGGTCTCGGGGTTCGGGTTTCGGCACTTGGCACTCGGAACTCAATGAATTGTGTAATGTACATGAAAAATGGACATGTTGCACACTGGGTTTCAAGTTTCACGCTTTGGCACTCGAAACTTGGTGATTTGTGCAGTGAGTGAAAAATGGACATGTTGAACAATGGGTTTCAGGGTCTCGGGTTTGAAAAATAGCATAATAACAACTTTCATGTTTTCATTATCATTTGCCTATATTGACTACTGAGTCTGATAAGAGACCCCTTGGATGATTCATTGCTCAATGAAATACTACCTGATTGGAAGTGTGCTGGTTATCAGATATTCATTTGTCGACTCCCGGGTCCCGGAACTTGGAAGTCGGTACGGTTGACCCAAATTTGGGTGGTTGGAACTTGGCATCTCATAGGGCAACACAAGCTTCACACCCTGGATTCCAAATTCTGCAAGACAACCTGTGCACCATCAAAGGCCATGTCAGGAGATCACCTGCTGCTCCGGGAACTCGGGAACTTTGATTTATTACCTCCTCTGAGTATGGTTGACCCAAAGGTTGGTAATCAGAACTTGGCTTCTCATAGGGTAACACAAGCTTCGCACCCTGGATTCCAAATTTTGCAAGACAACCTGTGCACCATCAAAGGCCATGTCAGGAGATCACCTGCTGCTCCAGGAACTTGGTAACTTTGATTTTATTACCTCCTCTGATTTGGTTGATGTACAACTACCTCAGCTCCATCGTGTTTACAATTATGATACACATGGGCCCACCCATCTATATTTTATACCACCCTCGGCCCACCCGTCTAATACAACATCCCATACAACACCCTCGGCCCACCGGTCTAATTAATATGCGTCTGGGCCCACCCGTATAATACAATATTGTATAATACCCTCGGCCCACCTGTCTAATTTAATATGTGTCTGGGCCCACCCGTGAATGTGATAACAAGTACCTACCCATCTATCTCATACACATCTACCTTAATACACCCATCTGCATAATATCCAACTACCTCGGCCCACCCGTCTACCTAATATTCATGTACATCGGCCCACTCATCTACTCTATATATCCCCTGCATGGGCCCACCCACCTCCATCGGGAATAATTTGCCTCCCGGCCCATCCGTCATAGTCGAGGATATTTTTATCATGGGCCCATGGTCCGCTGGCCCATATCATACGGGATATTATGCACGTCCATTCCCTCGTATTATATGGAAATAGGTCACTGTAATATGTGAGAGTGCGGGGGCAGCTCCTTGCTTCGGCTGCTTTAATTAATCAACATTGCACCTGCAGTGCCTCTGCTGTACAAATCTGATGTAAGGTTGCTCGATATCCTGCGAGTCACTTACATCTTGACTTTAGCGCTGCACGGTGTGGATGCCACATGCATGCTGTTGTTCTTTGACTTATAATCCATGAAGACCTCCCATGATCTGCAGTATTTTTTTGTGACCTCTAGTACACATCTTATTCTCAACTGTTAGTTTGCATTTATCCTCCATTCGCATGTCAACATTTGTCCCTGGACATTTCAGTGACTGCCCTCCAGACTCAGAAGAGGGCCCGAGCCACCCAGAATGCCCCCAGGACACAAGGCAGAAAAACCTCATGATCAGTGAAATGCTACAACTTTTCGTCATTAGTATGTGTCGCATCTATTTTTATTTAGCACATACCGATGATTTCCCAAAGCAATTCTGGCGACACTTTGTTTTGTCATGAATCTCTTGTTTTGTTTCGCGACAGACTCCATGCCAGATCCACCCAACGATACTGTCCAAGCCTTAGGTGAGGAGTCAGGCCAACCTGAACAACCCCAGGATCTGAAAGACACAAACCTGGTGATCAGTGAAGTGCTACAACTCGCCACCAACAGTACATGCTATCCACCTTCACTCAGTAGGTGGTGCCTATGATTTTCCATGACAGATTCGGTGTCGGACCAGCTTGATGACACCCTCCCAGCCTCGGGTGAGGAGTGCAGCCACCCAGAACACACCCAGGACCCAAGAGACATACACTTCAGTGGAGGGCAACAAGTCGTCATCACTTGTATGACTTATCTATCTCCACCCAGCTCGTGTTGACAATTTCTCTCAAGCCATTCACGCAACCGATCTCATACTTGGTCTCCAATGTATCCCTGCTGGCTTTTATGTGGTAGTCAAGGCTGATGGTGCTGAATATCAGACAAGCAATAATTCTGTACACGTAGACCAGGCTGTCGTTGAATGGCACGAGTGCATTCTTCTGTAAGTGGTCTGTAACCTTGTCTGTCTTGCAGGTATTGACAAAGACTAGACCATGCAATCCATCTTCTAAAGTTGGGGTCAGCGTGTATGCCTCATTCGAATTGGGTCCCATGGTCTGTCATGGAGAACTCCTTCGCACATTCGAGATGTCCATTGGAGAATTACTGGATCGCAGCGAAAGGTCTCATCGTCAGTATTTATTGCAAATAACACCTCACGGATGCTAATGAGTATCACAGCCATAATGTTTCAGCCAAAGCAGGAGGACGTCATATCTGCTTGTACTTCATTGTTCATGATGGTAGAGCAGCAACTTTCTGATCGAAATGACGGCGGTGTTCTTTGTCCTCTTACTACCGTGAGCGATCAATGCAGTCTTGCATTCTGATTCTGATCGCCGTAATGTGTAGCTTACATCTCGCAATATGGATGGGTTAGCACTAAGGATGGATGCCGGACATCGTCTTCTCGCACGATACCGCAGGATGCAGAACAGTACGGATCTTGAACAATCCACAAGCCACTTTGAACGGGCCTCGGATCTTTGCCCCGTGGATCATTCCTACCGCCCTGCAGCACTGTTCAATTTAGCCACCGCAAAGTTTATCAGTTGCCAAGCCAACGGAAGACACCTCAACCTCAGCATGCCTATCTCTCTTTTTCAAGATGCACTTGATTTGCGTCCCACTGGTCATCCAGACTGACCCACAACCCAACTCCATCTTGCCATTTCTCTGCTCTCTCGCTTTGCAAGGCGGGAATTTCAAACAGATGCGGACACAGCTAAAGAGTTATTGAATGAAGTGCTTGATGTCTGTCACGCCAATAGCCACATTTATAGAGCAGCTCGGATTGCAATCGAAACATGCGCACTGCATTCTGCTTCAAGCATGGATGCAAATGATCTAGAGCAGGAGCGACCTGCCGCATCCATGCTTCCGTTATCGCCGAATCAACTTGTTGATCAAGCAGAGCGGTATCTACAGAGAGATGAACCACATGCCTTAGATGAAGTGATATCCCTTCATTATGATGCACTGGGATACTACAACACCGGACATGCTTACTGAGGGCAATTGCTGGGTAATTTGGCCATAATGTTGCACATTCACTTCGAGCGTCGAGGCACTGGTAAAGACTTGGATCAGGCTATCGCACTTGTCAGGGAAGCGCTGGCCTTGTGCCCTGTCAGTCACACAGATCGGTCTGTGTTGTTAAATAACCTCACGAATCTACTCTCCTCCCGCTTTGACCACCGAGGCAATGATGATGACTTGGATGAGGCTATCGCACTGCACAGGGAAGCACTGGTCTTATGCCCCATCGGTCACACACATCGGTCCATGTCATTAAATAAGCTCGCGAATCGACTCTCCACCCGCTTTCAGCACCAACACAATGGAGAAGACTTGGATCAGGCTATCTCACTTTACATGGAAGCGCTGGCCTTGTGCCTGGTTGGTCACACACATCGGTCCATGTGGTTAAATAACCTTGTGACTGGACTCTCCTCCCACTTTGAGCACAGAGGCAACAACCATGACTTGGATAAGGTTATTGCACTTCACAGGGAAGCGCTGGCCTTGTTTCTGGTCAGTCACACAAATTGCCCCATGTCATTGAATAACCTCACGATTCATCTCTCCTACCGCTTTGAGCACTGAGGAAACAATGAAGATTTGGATGAGGCTATCGCACTGCACAGGGAAGCCCTGGCCTTGTGCCCGGTCGGTCACACACATCGGTCCATGTCATTAAATAACTTCATGAATCAACTCTCCTCCCGCTTTGACCACCAAGGCAACGACAAAGACTTGGATCAGGCTATCGCACTTGACAGGGAAGTGCTGGCCTTGCGCCCTGTTGGTCACACAGATCGGTCCATGTCATTGAATAACCTCGCGACTCAACTCTCCTCCCACTTTCAGCACCGAGGCAACGACAAAGACTTGGACCAGGCTATCGCATTTCATAGGGAAGCACTGGCCTTGCGCCCTGTCAATCACACACATCAGTCCATGTCATTGAATAACCTCGCGACTCAACTCTCCTCCCGCTTTGGGCACCAAGGCAACGATGAAGACTTGAATCAGGCTATCGCACTTGGCAGGGAAGCGCTGGCCTTGTGCCCGGTCGGTCACACAGATTGGTCTGCGTCATTAAATAATCTCACGATTCACCTCTCCTCCCGCTTTGACCACCGAGGTAATGATGAAGACTTGGATGACACCATCGCACTTTACAGGGAAGCTCTGGCCTTGCACCTGGTCGGTCACACAGATCAGTCCATGTCATTAAATAACCTCATGAATCAACTCTCCTCCCGCTTTCAGCACTGAGGCAATGATGAAGACTTGGATCAGGCTATCGCACTTGACAGGGAAGTGCTGGCCTTGCGCCCTGTCGGTCACAGAGATCAGTCGGGGTCATTATATAACCTCACAACTCAACTCTCCACCTGATTTAGCCACCAACACAATAGAGAAGACCTCCATGAGTCACAAGAGAACCTTTGCTGTGCATTGACTCTGTTAACGCAACATGATCCTCATCAATTACTAATTCATCAGTGGCTAGCTAAAGTCTATCTGATGTTCCATCATTCAGGCCTTGACAACACCGGCACAGGTGAAGATACTGATGGTCTGAATTCTGCTATTCACCATCTCCAGGGAGCAGCAAATGTTGTCTCTGGAGGCTTGCTATTCCGCCTGCGAGCAAGTCTACTCTGGGTTACGAATGCCTGTCAACATTCACACGTCACTGAACTGGAAGCATATGCAACTTCCATGCAACTTCTGGATGCTTACATGTCTAAGACCGCTTCAGTATTGTCTCGTCACAAAATCATGAAGGACTTCCCGAGTACACTTGCCGTTGATGCAGCATTGTGTGCTCTTCATAGTGATGATGTGTGTCGCGCTGTTAAGTTATTGGAATTTGGACCCAGATGACACGACTCCGCACCCCTCTTGACAGCCTCCAGACTCGTGGTGATCATGCAATGGCCCTGATGAAGAGATTCCGAGATCTCAGTTCTCTCCTCGATAATCCTCCTATGAACTATTCAGAAGGAAACCCAAGAGTTGATGTAGAAGCAGAGGAAACCCGGTACAGATGTGTAGTGGAGGATTGGAATAGAGCCATAGAAGAGATCTGGGAGATCGAGGGCTTCTCTCGCTTCCTCCTTCCCCCCTTATTCTCTGATCTTCAAGATGCAGCTTGTGATGAGCCTATCATCATTCTCATCGCAAGCAAGTCGTCTTGCCACGCTATTATCATTCCACACAAGCAACCTCCGACTAGCATTCAACTCCCTACTGATTTTCTGAAACTCGCTAAATTGGTGGTCGCACTTCAACAGGCAGTTGGAAAAGAGGCTGGTCCTAAAGGGAACCAACCAGCGCTGACGAAAGCTTTGAGAGAGTTGTGGGAAATCGTTGTCTGCCCAGTAGTGGAGATTCTGGATGGGTTTGTATGGTGAGGTTCCCGAATATGGTGGTGCCTGACGTCTCTATTCAATTTCTTGCTGTTGCATGCTGCTGGTGAATACAGGGCAAGGGGAAAGTCTGTTTCACAGCAGTACATCTCCTCATACATGCCATCTCTCACCACGCTGATCAAGGCTTGTGCAAGTCATGAAAAGCTCCGTCAGTTCCCTTCATTGCTATTGGTCAGGATTGCCCAGCTGGTGCCTCGTTCACGTTGGATGCTGTGGAGCCAGAGCTGGAATTGGTGCAAAGACTTTTGCCCCCTCCCCCCACTATTTCCTTTTCCAAGATAACCAGTGTTGATGCCACGAAATCGAGAGCACTGCGCGCATTGCGCGACAATACTTGGTTCCATCTTGCATGTCACAGGACACAGAAAATTGACGAACCCTTCAAGTCAGCCTTTCTAATGCGTGACAAGCCACTTTCACTCCTCGATATCATTCAGACGGATCTGTCTCAGCATGAATTCACATTTCTTTCTGCCTGTGAAACCGCAGTCAGTGTCTTTAGTACACCCGATGAAGTAATACACTTAGCAGCTGGCCTGCAATTTGCTGGGGTCAACAGTGTTGTGGGGACAATGTGGAAGGTCACTGATAGTACTGTGCAGCACTTGGTGGAGGCATTCTACAAAAATATGCATGGGGATGGTTGTCACAACCCAATAACGAATTAACGCTGGGCAGAGACTAGGACTCAAACAACAGAATAATCACACAGAGGAAGTAGGCAGCAGGTACGTCTTGGTATTGCTCACTTGGAGATACAAGAGGTTTGAACTAAAGAACTACTGACTACGATGAGCTACCTATATACACATATTGAAACTGAGATCAAAACTGAGTATGAACTAACTAACCAATCAGAATAATTAAAGGTATCGTACGATTCTATATATAACTATGATGTCATAACATGTGCCGCAGCCGCAGTAAGACTCTGGAACATTCCAAGAGTGTCACGAGGCATGACGTCAACATCTTCAGCATTGTCCGATAGATCACGTGACTCTGGTAATTCTACAATAGACGCAATAATAGGAACTTCTTCAACAGTAAACATATTCTTAGAAAGAGGTGCTGTGACTGGGCGCTTAAAGGACTTAGAATTAAGGAACGAATAATGGTTTGTATTTGGAACTCGTGACAATGGTCCAATGAATTCCAAACGAGCTGCCTGGGTGCTGCACCGAGCGGTCCAGTCATTAGCTTATGACAAGGACATTCCAATGACCTTGGACCAGCGCATAGTGTTCGTGCATATTGGCATATGACTCATTCTGTGCGTCCTCCCACCTTGATTAAAGCATTCTTGAGACATTCTAACGACTTCCTGTATAGCATCCAGTTATATCCGCGCACAACCTGTCACTTGCCAAGGACTCTAATATTGCAAACTTCGAGACTGTATATGGACACAATATGTACATTCAATTTAGACTTGACTTTGTATTTTGCAGTTTGTTGCCTCGGAGTCGAAGGTGGTTGCTCATGCGCATTGAAGTATTGATGATTTGTGGATAAGATGAGGTTGCACAATGCTGATCTGGCATCACGCCTCATGTGGCAAGACACAATTTACAATGAATGAGTGTTTGGATTGCGTGAGGGCCTTAAATGCACTCCTACCCATCATGCAGCACCGAAATCTGGTTCTTATGCCAAGGAGCTTAGGCCCAGCAGGGTAGATAGATCATAGATGAATGGAAATACATGGTTCGTCCATTCTCTTTTCAGAATAAATGCTTTAGCTTGCTGTCTTCTGCTGTGTCTGTGTCATGGCGTGTGGGCAGGAGCCTCTGAGCTTTCCTCCCCCTCACTATGTCATTGCACAGGTCCTTGCCCATCCACTGGAAGCATGAAAGACTTTTTCAGCAAGAAAAATGTTGAAAAATTGTAACAAAGGTTTAAATAAACCATTAATTTTGGTCTATTTAAACCTTTGTTACAATTTTTTCAACATTTTTCTTGCTGAAAAAGTCTTTCATGCTTCCAGTGATCGTGTGTGCTGACAGCTTCCTCTTCCCATGCCTGGGTCACACTCTGCCTCTATTGCCACATTCTTTCAACAGCCCGACCTCCCTGCCCAACTCATACATGACCGGTCGACCTATCGCTCACTGAGCCTGACCATGCAACATTCTACCTCTCTGGTGATCTCACTGAGAAGGCGTACACTGACTTCCCAGTGGTAGATGTACCAACTTGAACAGAGCTGAAGTAGTGAAGGCTCAGATAGTGAAGGTGAGCATTTCTGAATCGCCAAGATCGGGAGGTGGGTTGTAGGGGAGATGAAGATCATTTGAGTGTAGCCATAGACTTGTCTCCGAGATGTAGTGCTGCATCGGCCTCAAATAGATGTAGGCTATGACATAGTGACGCCATACCCCATGTGTAATGTCGGAAATTCCTAATTTTGGTTGGCATATCTTAAAATAGCGTGCAAGGTCCCAATTTGTCAGTGGCATTGCGGTCCGTTTGCAAGGGATCCCGAAAATTATGGAAGCTGCTTGCAAGCAATACAGATATTCTTCCAAGACGGTCCCAAGACCATTCCAACACAAGGTCACAATTTTGAAAACAACTAAAAACACCCCTCATTGGAAGGTCATTGCAAGTCACATGATATCATTCCAAGTGTTTCGAGAACTTGTAAGGACTGTCTGATTCTTTTAAGGTAGCAATTTGAATTTAAAAATTGTACAAATTGCTAAATACCGATTTTCTGATATTTCGTACCTTCTACCGCGGCATTGCACCAGGTCAAAACCACATTGATCGTGGTTAGGACTTGAGGAGTCTGCTTTCTCTGTTTGCCATTGATCACTGTCAGAACTTGAGGAGTCTGCTTTCTCTATTTGCCATTGATCGCGGTCAGGACTTGAGGAGTCTGCTTTCTCTGTTTGCCGTTGATCACTGTCAGGACTTGAGGAGTCTGCTTTCTCTGTTTGCCGTCAATAAAAGCTTGCAAATCCTGCAGAAGAATCAGTACAATAAATGTGAATAGATAGACAAGCTGACCTGAAATAGACCAACACGAGACAAGGCATTCACAGCGATAGTGATATGCACTGTTTCAGCATCAAGTACATAAACGGAATCGATACCGGCTATTGATAGGACTCCCTGGTCATCCTGGTGCTGTTTGTTCGAGGAAACGGGAGTGGCAGTGGCAGAGGATGCAGATGAGAGACATCTGACGGTAAGTACATAAACAGAATCGATACCGGCAATTGATAGGACTCCCCAGTCATCCTGGTGCCATTTGTTCGAGGAAACGGGAGTGGCAGTGGCAGAGGATGCAGATGAGAGACATCTGACAGTAAACAGTCGCTCCTTGCTTTGTCGATGGGTCAATGAGGCAAGCTATCAATATACATAATGTCAGTACTAAGTTTGGCTGAAGAGTTCAACAATTCAAATGCACCTCGATGTCAGGTTCAGACGTCATGCTGATTGTTGGGAGTTCAGAGAGCGTCAGATTCACACTGGCCCAAGTGCCGCCACTGAGGAGTTTGAAGAGAAGGTTCAGTGTGTATGATAATCGATGGCCAGGGTGTTGCTACCACTGAGGAGTTTTATTAAATTGAAGAGAAGCTAGAGAGATTCTGAAGATGGAATTCTAAGACAAACGAGAGATGATTGTGGTTGAAGCGAAGTGTTGCAAGCCTAAGCAAAGACAAACTTCAACATTTGTTTGGCCTTGTATTAATATATCCATTAATGGAAGTTCGTTGAAATCATGTCAAGTCATTTGAAGTCCATACACAGTCGACAAAAGCATGTATTTCAATAGAAAGTCTATACTAATGCAAGCTAATTTCAATGATAGAGCAGCGAGGACACCTCATTTGCCCTTCTGACCTGACCGCCTTACAACAACATCTTGACCCTCCACAGTTGTCTTGCCTTTGTGCCGTGCCTTCGGTACCGCGCGTGCTTTAGTTGGAGTAGGAAGCTCAGATTCAGCAGGATCCTTGTGCTTAAGATTGAGCTCTTCCATTGCAGTGGAGATAGATTCTGAACTTCGAGCCATATTGACGACAGGAGGAGCTGTTACTACAGGGGGAGCTGCAACAGCTGGAGGGGGAGCCGAAATTGAGGGAGCCAGAATTGAGGGAGCTGAAGTATAGTGAGACATAGGTAGTAGCTCATTGACTTGGACACTACCGCTATTAGTATTATCATTAGCGTGCTGTGGTGGGATTGGTGGTGTCCCATCATCAACAACTGGTTCTGCTAATTTGTCTTCTATTGCGCGATTGAAGTCTTCTTCCCATGTGTGACCCAGTCCGTCATCATTGAGAGTAGTAGAGGGGGGAACATAAGACGAAGTTCCTGAGAAAAGAGCATCATTGAAGAATGCGATGACCTGGTGCGCCCAGGCACCTCCAGTCAGTAAATGCTGACAGTAGAAGTTGTGGTATTTGCGGTACGGAATCTTCATAGTGTCACCAATTTCAGTGAGTTCTGCATCACCAGAGAGTAGGAATATTGCCTTGTATGAGAATAAGTCGTGACTCTAACAACCACACAAAACTGATTTGGACTCACCATGACAGCAGCAGCAGCAATCATACCTGGCGTTATAGCTCGCAATTTCCAGATCTTGGCTTTTGTCCTAGAAGATGCAGCGCCTGTAGGTGCCAATGATGACTTGCCGAAGAGCGATACTTTCAAGACCTATAATCATATACGAGTGTGTTAGCCCATATTGAAGTATTGAGCAAAAAGAGATGTACCTGCATGAGCTTTGCAGTTTTCAACAACTGATGCGGTACTGGATTATCAGGTCTAGGAAAAAGCACAGGCACGAACTTTGTGTACTCTCCATGGGGGCTCAGTAGAAGAGGGCGACAGTTAGGGTCTTCATTTTGTTTCCAGCCTCGTATGAAGATGCTCGCATTGAGACCAAAGATTGCACTTGCGCATGACTTGACATTGGATGCCATTTTGGAATGAGCGTTGCTGATGCCCCTACCAAACTATTGCATTGATTGTCATTAAATGATTGTAATGTACCAATAGATAGGCATACCTGAGATCCAAAGTTTTGATAGCTCATCAATTCACGTTCTTCTTCAGGAATGAACTTGAAGAGCTCGGCCCTCACACCATCCTCCATCGAGACTCCTGTAAGCCAACGCTCCTTGCTATTGAGGTCGATGTCTGGACAGGTGCGAGCTGACAGCAGGAAAAGTTCGATGTTGATCCAAAGGCAGTGGGTTATCGAGTATTTCCTCCCAAGAGCTTGTATGGTGTCTTCCTTGGCCGCCATCGCAAGATCATTTGAAGTAAGGTTACGACACTTGCGGCCTTTAGGTACTGCAGCCTCAAGGAGCGCATTCTTCTTTATAGCCTCACGGCATTTACCACGCAAGTCGAGCAATAGTCTCTGTGAGATCTCGAGGGCCTAGTAGTAATGATCTGTAATAAGAAATGTGAACTTTCTAGCAATACAATGACTTACCTTGCACAGCTCTTGAGATGTCACATCTGGAGGTGCAGGAGCAAGTGCAGCACGGACCTGGATGAGCTCTGCATCTGAGTCGTCTGAATCTGATTCCGACGAGAACTCTTGATCAGTGCCTGAGCTCGACTCTATAGTTGCTGCATGACGGTGTGCTGATGGCATGATGGCAGACGACTTCAAGTTGAACACGGAATAGAGGTGGGAGACTAGGATTATTAGTGTCAGTAATACATCATGTTTATATCAGTCAAAATTCGCTTACTGCTGATACAAACATTCAGGCCTTGAGGGTACCGCATGTTGCAATATGTACAAAACCTGAACACGAGTGATATTAGCTGTGGCATTAGAATGGACCTACTACTCAATGGGGACACACCATGTAATACAAAGCATGCGACATCGACAGGGCATTCTTATTATGTCGAACATGGTAATACAATTGGAGTTTGGTGAATATATGAGTTGCAGAGGCGAATAAAAAACAGAATTTGAGGCACAATGGTAGAGTTCTAGGGTATAGTTGTTATTGCAATAGTCATAAATGTAAATGTTGGACATACCATTAGAACATATATCTCTGCAAACGAAGGAACATGTCGGAGTCCACATAGTCAACGAGAAAAAAGTCTCCCCTTGTACTAGCGAAGTCTGGAACAAGTAATGCACCACGAATAACTGAGTGAAGTGTGATAAACTCTGTCGAAGCGAGTGGTTGGGCATGAAGACGTCTCAGTCGCAAATCTCGATCTACAGCATGTTGTGGGCCTGTCAGAGCATCCATAGGTTGAACTAGGGCAAGATCCAATGTTTGACTGCCGATTGATTGCTTGAACATGAATAAAATGCAAACAAAAATGTTCTTATTATTTCCATCTTTGTCCTGGGTGCGAACAAGGGCACAGTCACGTCGTTCACGGCCATGAAAGCTCGGGTTGCAGCGCAGGTGGTCGGTAGTAAGCTTCCAGTCCACAACAGACTCGTAATTCACTTTGAGATATCGGTGTTCTTGAACCTGGAGACATGTTTGTGAAAAACGGCGACTTGTGGGAGTGAAATATGGAACTACTGACCGTATCTTGTGCTGAAAGCGTCAGCCATGTTTTGCCATCGGGTAATGGTATATTATATGCAGGTAGAGCGTGATTAAGGAAGGTTGAGAGCTTTTTGCAGAACTGCCCAAAGGCACAGTTGGACACATTGTCGTTTTCAAGCTGTGCAAAGGTTATTGCAGACTGAGGAGCGCCAAGGTGAATATGTCCACCAAAAGACCGATCATCCAGGTCCTCTGTCTCAAGCTCTCTCTCCGAAAGTATGGCCTTGCATTGTTCATCATTGAAATGATTGATACGGTTGCGGAGGACTACAGAGACGAAGGTTGTGTGGTCAAGCCTGAGTATCTAGATAGCAGGGGTTGTCAACGAGTCAATTAATGTGAAGTGTGATCAAACATACCTGGTTTGCGATATCTTTGCCATTTGTTTGCAGTTTATAGGCCCTCTTGATAGGCCCATGATGCTTCTCATTTGGCCGCGTACTAAAGTTTTGTGCAGCTCCTTTTGCCCTAATGTCAGAAAATATGTGCCTCATTGAGTGCGCCTTCAGAAAATTCCAGTTTTTTGTCGCTTCGTCACCAAGAATTTCGATATACAGTGGCTCAAAAAAGTGTCCCAATGTTTGTAGCTTTTCATGTAATTGCTATATCATGTGTCGAGACGTGGGAATATGACTAAGCTATAGGGAGATGTCGGAAAGGTCTGCATCTCAGCTTCATTTCGGTTCCCTATACCGTGGGAAACTAATGACATTATGTGAAGATATGAGTATTTTAATTTGATGACTCATTGGGACACTTTTTTGACTTCGAGTTTTACTAATGTAATCTCTATAATTCTAGTACTGTGTGTGACCTCCTTCTGCTCCAATCACTTCTGCCACTCTTCTAAACATATTCTCTATCAATTTTGGGTATTTCTCTTTGGTGATTCCATCATACTCTGCTGTAACACTGTCTCATAGTTGGAATAGCCCCTACAGTGAATCTTGATATGCTACAAGTAATTTCTTGAGTGATTCTCAGGGGTATTCAATATGGTTGATGTCTTGGGTCTATGTTGAACATGATAGAATAGTAATATCATGGTTTGCAAGCTATTGGTGGCTTATTTAGAGGTATACTTAGGGTCATTGTCTTATCACAAAACAGTATCTTCTTCATTAACTCATAACTTCTGCATGCTTCTTAGCAGACACTCCTGTCAAATGAGTATTTACTACTCTGTATTCATCCTCCCCTTTGCTTCATAGAAGATTCCCACTCCATTTTATCTCATATAGTCCTATACCGTCAAGTTTTGTCTTGAAACTTAAGGTGTTTATTTAACTTTTCTTTATCTTAATGATTGTCTTATCTATTTTAATATAAATTCCTTGCCATATGATTTCATCCTATTGATTTTAACCTTATCTAACTAGATAAACCTCTTTCAGCTATTAGCAGTCCGATATTTGTACTTGAAAGTAGCATCTTGTCTTTTATTTTTATAGGTTGGAGACAGAGGAATCTGTTTTTCTTGATTATAGCTTTAAGATGGGCTGTCTTGAGAGTCTGTCTGACTATTTGAGTAGAGATAGTCATAGGAATGATGGAAATAATCAATTTAATCACTTTATTAGCATCAGCAGTCTTTCCAATTAGAATATAGTGATTAAGAGATCTTAAGTCTTATAGAGCAACCTTCTAGATTGGCTACCAAATAACTTAAAGACCATAATATTACTATTCTATCATGTTCAACATAGACCCAAGACATCAACCATATTGAATACCCCTGAGAATCACTCAAGAAATTACTTGTAGCATATCAAGATTCACTGTAGGGGCTATTCCAACTATGAGACAGTGTTACAGCAGAGTATGATGGAATCACCAAAGAGAAATACCCAAAATTGATAGAGAATATGTTTAGAAGAGTGGCAGAAGTGATTGGAGCAGAAGGAGGTCACACACAGTACTAGAATTATAGAGATTACATTAGTAAAACTCGAAGTCAAAAAAGTGTCCCAATGAGTCATCAAATTAAAATACTCATATCTTCACATAATGTCATTAGTTTCCCACGGTATAGGGAACCGAAATGAAGCTGAGATGCAGACCTTTCCGACATCTCCCTATAGCTTAGTCATATTCCCACGTCTCGACACATGATATAGCAATTACATGAAAAGCTACAAACATTGGGACACTTTTTTGAGCCACTGTATTCCTGTTTGAAGTATTAGTGTCAAGTAGCACATAAGTTGGTCTAGATACTAGGACTTACATCTAAGCACTTCTGGAAAACGAGAATCTTGGCCTCCCCAGCTGTAATAGTGCTTTCTGTGTGAATGTCAAATGTTATATACATGTAGGCATGAAGATAGCTGGCTATGCACTTTAGAAGCGCATAACCAGCTTCATCATCTTTGCGGGTGAGCACGTTCTGTGTTGTATACAATATTTGCTATCAAAACGAGAAATATGTCAGCCATAGCTTACATTTGATATAGTGCTCGAAAACGTACCTTAGATATATCCAGGTACTTATTGCCATCGGAAAAACTTATGTTTGTAATGTGGTCGAAGTGGTTTAGGTTCCACCATCTTGGAAATGCAGCAAACCTATAGAATGAACAAACTACAAGACGAGGGCAAAATGAGGATGTAAAGAGACTCACTGGTCATCAGTCGTCTTCTCAGCAGTACGTCCCAGTGTTTTCAGGTGGTCCTTGACTTCCTCGAACATGTGATCGCCAAACAAACCACTGTCATAAGCGTGCAAGGGATCTTGCAAGAGTGCGTCATGCGGGCTGGACCGTTCGACAATCCATAAAGAGTTCTGACAGTTATGAGACCATTTAGATTCGAGAGCGAGAAAGTTGAATGAATCACTCACATTGACAGGCCTTAGACTCTGCTTTTTTAGTGCCGCCTCACCAGCAGTACAGTCCATGTTCCACAATCGGACACAAGCTTGTGCATCATCAATGATGTGGGTAGGGTATATCATAGAATGGTCAGTGAGCTTGTCCTTTGGGACAAGGCAAATAGGGCAGGGACATGCAGAGTTGAACTCTCATATCAGGGCCATCACACACCTGATAACATAAGTAACAGAAACAATGTGAATCTACTAATCACGTACTGCTCTTCATAATCAGCAGATAAAATCAGTATTAGTGGAAATAACCAGCATAGAATCCCATCATAGCATTGGTGTGCGAAGCCAGTTTTGGAGATGAGACTGAGGGTTTTGAGGAGAATCTTGAATGATTTGTGCCATACAACCTTCTTTAAATTCGTATAGGACAGCTTGCCATCCTCGTCTGAGTCTGCAGGAACCTGCCACAAGGGCGAAATGATTAAGTGTGAATTGACGTCTTCAAGTATCACAAGGACTTACTATTGGTAACCAACCCACTAAGTATCCTCCTCCAGGACCATCAACATTCCTGATTTCAACAGGTAGATTCCCGCAGCGTGCAATTACTGGATATGCCTTGACAGTACCGGCTGACGAAAGGTGCGTTTTGTCAGCATACAGTATAAATGCGAATGGCACACCATTATGGGGTAAAGATGTCTTGATTGCCATACACTTTAATTAGTCACAACGTCTGTCATAAGAAAATGAAAAGCTCACTTGTAAGTTCCACCAGCGATCTCCTGTCCACGGCTCATGGAAGAAGCATTCAAAATCAGTTCCATCATGTTTGTACAGTCGCTGGGCATCCCAAATGAACTGCGGTGCTAGCAAGGGGTTATCCAAGAGGTCCAATGCCCAGTCCCATAGTGGTCGTGAATATACTTCATACTCGATGTTTTCCTTCTTATACTCAACAGGTACAACATGTCTTTCGAACTGTTACAACATGGTCATATATATATGCGGGTGTGACATTATGCTATCGCTCTTACAGGAGTCAGTTGGCTGGATGCCCTCGTCCATGCAGCTGACACGTCATTGTGAGTTTTGAAAGTAAACTTCGTGCAACCATCCGCAACTCTCCAGATGAACTTGAGTAGTTCATTAGTTTGGTCTTTGCTCAAGGCAGCTCAGTGGGCAAGTTCAGCAAACTCGAAGTCTGCACGACAGCTGAAAGGTTGCCATGGCTTGTCATTGATGATGGGTGATTGTGTCATCTCTGGCTTATTGGTCCCATAAACGGAAAAGCTCTCGACGATTGGAGCGCAACCACTGTGAGGGTGATATTCGGTCTTGAATGTGTCGAGACGATCTGAGGTAGTTGCTGTGGCTGCCGAAATTGGAGCGGGAATGTTACTACCCATGCTGATATCAGAATCAGAACCTGGATCATGTTTAGATATTAGTCAAAACAAAACAGAAAGAATAATACATACGTAGCCGCGCATCTCCCCCGATACTCTGCACATAATCGAGGCCTTCAAGGCCTGCGTCATCATAATGGTAATGTGAATCTGCTGCAGATGGAGAATCAGCTGCTGAACCAGCCTCTTGAATGACTAGTGTGGTATCCCGGGCAGCCTCATGAGTGCGCCCTTTATTGCTGTGATGTTCTGATGAATCAAAGTTGACGATTTTGAATATAATCAGTGATTGAAGGTAATTTAGACAACATTGAAACATACTATGTTTTCCTTCCTTCAAAATTGACCTGGCTGTGGCCTGTGAAAACTCTCTATCCTCTTTCTTCTTCTCCTTCCGTCGCAAGCAGCTTTGCTTGTGTGATTTGAGGCCTTGGGATGTATACAGTTCATTACAATACTGACAAGCAACCTTGAGAGATGATGCTGAAGAGCAGGTATATTTGCGCCCTCCTGTGGATCTTTGGGGAGCCATTTATGGTATATAGAAACAGCACAGACAGATGAAACAAGCAAAGGTATCATTCAGGAAGAGATCATCGATGGATGGAACATAAGTGGTATGCGATTGAAATCTGACCTTGATAGTGTAAGCTGCTTGCAAGACCCAGTCGTTTCCCTGGCAAGTTACCAAAAGAAGGTCACTTTCCTTCCAATACACTTTCAATAGGTCACGCTTCCTTGGAAAGGTCTTCCATCACGGATGCAATACGGTCAAATGACGTCTCAATTTAGAAGCCTTGCAAGGCACCTATGGGAATTTCCGACAAAGTTGTGAGCCATTCTTGCCTCTCGAGGTACGCATGGGGTATGAATTTTCTTTGACAGCGGCTGTGTAAGTCGGTTGCTTACGATGGACTGATCTTCAAGTTTTCCCGTGCTCAATCGCATATAGGGCTTCACTAGTACTGATTTTCAAAAGATGGGTATGCAGACTCAGATGGTTGGGAATCTTTGGGCACTCACTTGAATGGTGCGCAGCCACAACATTTGTTAGTGAAACATTGATCCGTGTGTTTTTTATGGCAGGCACTCCCATGTGCGGTCATCGAAGGAAGTGCTCTGGATGTTGACGCTATTGTGGTTCTTCACAAAGTGTACTAACTTAGTGCAGTGCTAGCACAAACTGTCACCCAATCCACGAATGTCCCATTGAGAACTGCCGAGTACTGACTCGGATATATGTAGTCTCGTTACCATACTATAAGCCTTTCGATTCAAGACATTTTGGGCGTCCAGCCAAGATGTAGGTGCTTACGCGCTGTCTTTCAACTTAAGTATAACACATTCCAGGAGGGACTCCTCTTATCAGTATCCAACCGCTCAATACACGGTCTTACAGACTCTTACTCGTCCTTAGCTGGTACGTAGACCATGTTGACCCTAGCTTACCTTCTCTGTGTGGGGCAAGAGACATCGTGAGTTTGCCTGTTTTCTGGTGCGAGGCATTTTAACTCAGTGCCGTGTAGGTGACATCTCACATGTCAACACATTGTTATGCTGGCCGAAACAAATATTGTATACTCGGATCGTCTATTCTTCAAATGGGCAGTGAACCTGTTAGCTGGAAACACACTTCAGCTTCTCTTAGCTGTTTTCGCTGGTATTTTCACATTCAGAACATCTACCGCGTGTATATGCTCGCGCGAACTGGGTTCAGAGCCTCGGTAAAGTTGTGCAAGATGGCTGATCCATGGGATATTAAGATCCTACCAGGAGTCACGTTCAAACTCCGCGCGATGCGTCGCGGGTGGTGCGTCGATGTTTCTTTAGCTGGGAACGGTTTCTCATGGCGGCCGACTGGTACAGATCATTCCACGCCTGTCAACAATGCCCGAGTACTTATACCTCGCACAGCCAAAAGACCACCCTTACGCACCTCGCTCACTGGGCTCACGATGACGCCTACACTCTTTACGCCCATCCAAGTGGGTCACATGAGACTAAGCCACCGTATAGTCCTTGCCCCCCTCACCCGTGTTCGTGCCTACCTCACCCACATCCACGGGCCCCATGCAGCCACCTACTATGCACAACGTGCATCCCTCCCGGGAACATTCGTGATCTCCGAAGCGACCTTCGTCTCCCAGGCTGCTGGTGGGAGGGACTTTGTCCCAGGGATCTATACGCAGGAACAGGTAGAAGGATGGAAAAGGGTCACCGATGCCGTACATGAGAAGGGTAGCTTCATATTTTGCCAGCTGTGGGCACTCGGGAGAGCTGCAGTCCCGGATGCCCTCGTCAAAGAGAATAACTCCCCGCTAGTATCTGCCTCTTCTATCCCACTTTCCATCCGCCCTACCGCAATCCCGCACGCACTCACAGAACCAGAGATAAAATCATACATTGCCAGCTTTGCCACTGGTGCCAGGAATGCTATCGCAGCAGGCTTCGATGGCGTTGAAATCCATGGTGCAAACGGATACCTTGTCGACCAGTTCTTGCAAGAGGTGAGCAACACCCGGGAGGATGGATGGGGTGGGAGTATCGAGAAGAGAGCAAGATTTGCGATAGAGGTTGTTGATGCGCTCGTCAAAGAAATTGGTGCTGAGAGGGTTGGCATCAGATTAAGTCCATGGAGTCCGTTTCAAGGTGCGTTCTGTCTCTATTCCTTATTTTATACTGTACCAACATTTATGCAGACATGGGCCTCCCTGATCCAAAACCACAATTCTCCTACCTCGTAAATGAGCTCAGGAAGTACGACCTCGCTTATCTCCACGTCACAGAGCCACGTGTCGGCGGAAACATTGATGTGAACGCACCACCGCAGAGTAGCAACAATTTCCTGCGTGAGATATGGTGCAAGGAGGGAAAGAACAGGGTATTCATCAGTGCGGGTGGGTACACACGACAGACCGCAATCGAGATAGCACAGGAGCATGGGGACATGATAGCATTTGGCAGGTTGTACATTCCAAATGTAAGTCTTTTGTCCATATTTGATCTTCTTCGTCCATTGTCTTTGCCCATGTGTGCTGACAACTGTCTCTTCCTGCGCCTGGGTCAATCTTTTTCATATCCCATCTCTATCGCTTACTACTCTCCACGCTCTTCCAATAGCCTGACCTCCCTGCGCGACTTATACACGACCTGCCGCTTGCCAAGCCCGACCGTGCAACATTCTACCTTGCTGGCGATGTCACTGAGAAAGGATACACCGATTTTCCAGTGGCAGACGTACAGGTAGAACAGAAGTCATGAATGGGATTTTTTTACGACCAGCATAGTGGAGGTGAGCGTCTCTAAATAATAACCAAGATTAGGAGGTACGTTGTGAGATCTTTGATTCCATGGAGAAGACGTCTTGAACTTCAGTTTTCAAATATTTTCTGGGAACATTTTATGAATGAGTGCATAAGCTTACACGTTAGCCTAGTACCTATATGATGAACTTGGGCTACCAAGGATGCGATGCCACTTAATTTCAGGCAGTTGTACCACCATTCCGCTTCATCAAATGTAGTCCGGCTGCGGTGGGGCACTTCTTTAGTTAGATCGAAGCGTGTATTGTTATCATTTCACGATATCAGACAATCAAACACTGGCAAATATTTCAAGTTTCTAGACTGCCTATCGCTGTCGCAAGAAAGAACACAGTCGCATTGGACAGGGGTGGCCCATCTGATGTAAGTAGAATAGCTGGTAGGTACATACGCATGCGAGAATGAGGTGCAATGTAGGTCATTTTCATTGGACTCTACCGCACAGGAACCACCTGGCGAGGACTGTCAAGCACTTTGTCTCCGGAACAAGTTCAGCATCTAGTGGCGAATGTTCGCCAGTCATTGCAGAAGCATTATGTGTTGTGGTCCGCATGCTTACTGAGGCTGCTCCAGTAGTGATATTGGACATCCCCACTGCGCTGGCATTAGTCCTTGGGACACCAGCATTAGATGTACGGGCGTTTTTGCGAGGAGGATGTGATGGCCGTGCTAGATGTCTTTTTCCACTAATAGCATTTGCATTGCGCTACAGGTGAATCTATGAATAACAGAGGATACAAGATCATCAGAGAAGACATACATATTTACCACGTGTGGCGAAGATATCCACAACAGCGATCTTACGAGTGCGTGGAGTAGGACTTTCAGAAGTAGAGGAGCGAAATGAGAGACGATTGATGAGTTGTTTCATGCGGGAACCTTCGGCATGACGCTGTGTTGTTGTTGGAACAGTGCGAGTGTTACGTGGAGGTTGGGAGCGCATGTCGAACTGGAAGCAGGGTAAGATGAGCAGGCTGTGATGAATCTACTACAACATGAAGTCTTACATTATCGAAAAACCCCCGAGGGACTCCAGCACGTTTTGGTCGAGGCTTCCCAATAGCAGTGAAGTCAGCGACAGTGTAGAAGGACGAGTGTGAAAGCGTACATCTGGTTTGGAAGACCCAGCGCGGTGCCGATCCTGTATGTCACCAGAAGTCAGTATATATGCGGGTGTGTCTGAGAAATCTAGAAACCTTGTGCACGGACTGTATGATAGGTTAGTATGGAACATAGCACAACATGAGAATTTGCTCGCCTGCTTAAACTCTTCTGACTCAACCCGATCAACCTCCCATATGCGAACGAGTCTATCAACACAACCAGTCGCGATGAACTGGCTGTCCTCAGAAAAAGTGACGCAATACAGTGCGTCAGGATATTCAAGTGGCTCGCCAAAAGGTTCCAATGTGGTCAGGTCGAAGAATCGTGTTGTTTTGTCGCTTGACGCAGTGGCGAATTTCGTGCCATCAGGAGCAATGGCCAATGACTGGAGAAGATCAGTGTGCACATCAAATTGTTTGATGATTTCTCCAGTGGCAGCGTGTGAGATTCGAATGTCGTTGAAACTCCCGCTGATGAGATGGAGACCATCTAGAGTGAACGTGACCAGCCATGCCCGCTGTTCTATCTTCAGTAATTCTTCTCCGCTCGTTGAGTCCCATAATATGATACGTGTTTCGGCGCCTGCTGCTAGTTTGCTCCCATCAGGAGAGTATGATACCGAGTATGCCTCACCGCCCATTTGGAATGGTCCAAGGGTTCTATTGCCTGTCTCCCTCTGCCACACGCAGACTGTTTTATCGTATGATGCACTTGCAAATGTTTTGCTGTCTGGCGCAAACACAACACTCCAGATGTCCCTCCTATGACCCTTGCACGTGTCTGAGACCGGCACGGTCAGGCTTTTCGTTGTCGGAACATCCCATACCAGGATGCTTCCATCCCTTGAGCCACTAACAATCCAGCGCCCATCGGGAGATACTGCAACCCTCAAGACATAGTCACTATGACCCAATAAGGGCTTCCCCACTTGTTGTCCTGTGTCTAGGTTCCATAGCCGAAGACTTTTGTCGTCAGAGCAGGTGACGAGGAGACGGGTACCAGGGATGAAAGCAATGCCTCTCACCCAATCTTCATGACCCTTGAGCGTTATTTCGGCCTGAAGTGCCTTCTTTCGAGCAAGAGGTGTAAGAGCTTGTGGAGATACGGCGTGATTTGACATTGGATCTAATTTTTGTTATCGATGAGCAGGAATATGGCACAGGAGGGGAGCAGATACTTACATGCGCTATAATGGCAGGTCGGTGGGGAGCGATAAGGAACTGTGCCACTTCATCTTATCGCAGTGGCGCACGCCGCAAGGCGCCTATCGTTTCGGGAGAATGACAAGGATACATAAAGTTGTTGGTAACTGACACTCAAGCTGCCTGCAGAGATGTTGCGCAAGACATACCATAGGATAATGCCCTTGTGAAGAGCAGGGTACGATTCTCGTTAGGTCAAGTACTGATGATGTTCATGCCGGGAAGGACAACTTTGTTTGTCATAAGCACTTCTAGTGGGAACCGCAATCCCATGTCCTCTCGAACGAAGATAAACTCTTGTCTGTATCTTCCCACTTTATAACACCCGCTCTATTCTGGCCCCATATGCCTTGGCCCTTTACCGACCCAGAGATAAAACCATACCTTGCAAGTTTTGCTGATGCTGCAACTTGAAAGAACTCCAATGCTGGCAACATAAAAATCAGTACAAACATATACCTCATCAACCGGTCTTTGCAAGCCGCGAGTAATGCTCGAGAGGAACGGCTGGGGTGCCAGATGATCGAGCGAGGTTCAATTTTGTAACTCCTTGTTTGCAATTCAGGTTGTGGATGTGTTTGTCAAAGAGGACGGCGCTGACTGACACCTCGTGCAAGCGTCATAATGCGCTCCGCAATGGGCGTCGCAATGATTGTAGTAGTGTCCGGTCGTGCACTGCTGATATGTGATCTTCTCAGTTCTGCACTGTGTGGGAAATTGTATATTTTGAATGTCTCACAGTCACTTTTTCATTCTTTTTGCAACACGCAGCATCACGACATTATGAAACTAGAGATAGGCGGTCAATTACATCTGGAGTTGAAGAGACAGAATTCGGAGATGTACATGTTTACATCGTGTATCATGCATAATAATCTAGTGTAGCATTGGCAATCTTCGTGCTTGGAGGTACACAAACTACAATATCTCTAGCGTCCTAATGTCCATCGTGTCGTCAATAGAAGCCATGTCGTTGACCTTGGCAATGATAAGGTGGTCCGAAGCAACTCTCTTATACTCCCCACCACGCTGTTGCGCTAGCAAAAGCGCACCAAAAGACTGTCCAAGGCGAACAACCAACCTCAACTCTCGCAAGCGAGCCTCCGAATCAGCCAGCTTAGAGTCTACAAGAGAACCACGGACAGATCTGTCTGTTCGAGAGACAGGCTCAGTCCAATCGTCCACACTCTGTGCATCGTCTGCAAAATCAGGCTCCGCAAAGTCAGGCAGCCCAAGATCATGACGGTTCCATGGACGGACAAGTAAAAATGTTTGCTGAGTGGGCCGTGTCGGCGAGAACTGAATCAACTTGTCTTCAGAGGTGATTAGTAGGCCTTGAAGACCATCTGCCTTGATGTCATAAGTGAAACATGTCTCCGGGTCTGGACCACGCCTCCGCCTAAGTTCGGTGATTGGGAATACGATGCAAGGTAGCTGCAGTCTGGAGTGTGCGAAACGAGGAGCACTGAGGTTGTCAAGGAGGGTATACAGTTTCGAAGTCAACTCCGCTGACACAGTGTTTCGCAGCATGGAGACAGACATCTTCATCTCATCTTCGGGCAAAGATGACAGCATACATGGCGGAGCTTTGTATGATGTAATGTCAGCTGGGAGACAACTATTGAATTCAGAAGCTTTTCCGATCCAGTCAAGGGGGGTGATGTCGCCTGAATGCGCAATAATCTCCTGCAAGAGTCGTCCGAGCGCGTTTTGTCTCTTCTCGCCGTAGATTACAGGGAGGTGGACGTGGAAGATGCCAAATAGTGAATACGCAATGTCTTCTTGCAAAGTCGTGACACGGCTGGATGCCCATCGAAGTTTCTCTCGGGCGCCTCTCATGCCCGGGCGGAAAGCAACGAGGGCTTGTGCATCTATGCCTGTTGAATCCTCCAACTCCTGCATGATAGCAAGAGACATCTTGTGGTTGGGAGAGCGATCATCGAGATACAAGGTCCAATCTGCTCGATAAAAGCGAACAGTGTGAGGAGCAAGGAATTCCTGCACAGTCCACCCCCGAGTGTTCCAAGTGCTATTTGCGAGTGCCCCGGGTTCCGACCAAGGCAGAACATCTGCCAGGTAGATAATTGTGAGCGCTGAGTGGCGGTACCAGACGAACATGGAGTTGACTGATTCTTGAAGTTCAAAATTGTTGCTCTGGTCAATGCAACATGTATCGCTCCACGCCCAGCGAAATCCCGCGTCACGAGCGGTTTTGCAGAAGGTTTGCAGCTTTGCTACGGTTCCGAGTGGAGTTAAGGTGTACACGTCCTTGTCCTGAATGTCGTGCAGCCGCGGCTCTTTATTCTCCCACCTATGCGATAACATGACCCAACTGAAATATTCCGTGACTATGGCCTTGATGAGCTCCGTTTGGAGGGTTGCATGCGCCATCAATGATGACAAGACTTCTTTGTACTTTTCGCTTTTAATGAAGGTATTGATTTGTGTTTGTCTATCACACAAACGCCCAGTGAAGGTGTTGATGAGACGAAGTGGGGCATTTTCTAGTTGAATGTGGATAGCTCTTTGAATGGTGTCATGTGCTTCCGATGGACTGACATATTGCTGACGCAACTCTGGAGAATGGATCAGCCATCTTCTACTCGACGCAAGGTACGCGGTGCTTACCTCGTATCTTCGGGTCGATTGCATTGTCCAACTTGAAAAGCATGGTTTTTAACGCCTCGATCGCTTCATCGTAGCGTTGTACTTCGTGAAGTACTGCATACATCAATTTGTACCCAGTATAAGACGAAGGGCTCAGTTCAATGACCTGTGCATCGCTGGTATCAGCACTTGAGCTCGACAATAAACATCACTCGCACCTTTTCTGCATCGTCAAGGGCCTCTGTATAGAGCCTTCGCGTCAAATTTGCCTTACATCGGCGCGTAAAAAGAGACTCGCATGAAGAGTCCAGGCTTATCCCTGCTGAATACAGTTCAACAGCCATTTCATAATTGCTCGCAGTAACAGCTTCGTCTCCCTTTGTGACACAACGTGAAGTACACTTGTACTTGAAGGCTGAAGGACACTAGAATGAGTCTCGATTTTCAGATTGTCCACAACTACTCACCGGCAGACCACTCGTGATAAACAGGCTTCACAGCCTCGCTAATCATGAGCATCATATACTGATGAGACCCAGCCGCTTCAATCACACGATCAGCGCAGAGAAATGCTTCACAACGTCTTTGGTTGGCGGTCTGCCATAACGAACCGAAGTCCCAGCCGAAGAACTGTGCAATGCATATGATCAATCAGTGGGGATATCCTCTGAAGCTTCGTAGTGATATACCTCCGTGAACGTATCCATGAACCCATCCAAGTTATGCATGAGTTCACCCGGTATAGGTTCATAAGGTGTTGGACGTAGGAACCTGTCGGCGATAGTAGTAATACCGGCCGTAAGTTGATCAGCGGCTTCGCTGTAGTGCCCGCCATCGAAAACAATCATTGCACGTTGCACGTGAAGGTATGACTGGCGAGTATATTTAAAATGAAAAAAAAAATTGTTAGGTCTGACGTAGGACTCACATCGACTATGCGGCACTGAAATGTCTCTGAGGACTGACAGGTGGCGGCTAAATCTTGAACCCGTCGTATCGCTTCATTGTGGCGACTTGAGTTGAAAAGCGCAATAGCCTGGTGAAAATTACATTGGAGTCTTAGTATAACAAACGCGCTATTAAAAATAACGAAGAGAGTACCTTAATTAGTAAGATCTCGACAGTCATTCGATTGTGATTCGAAAATGAGAGAGCAAGATCAAAAGCTTCCATGGCATCCCAAAGTCGTTGCTTGCCGCAGAGGGCAATGCCTTTAAAAATATAGCCCTTCTGCATCAAGTATGTTCACATTCAGTATTCGCATCGAAGGCAAACAACTTACGATGAATGATGAACAACTGCCGGGCTCTTGGCGACTTTCCTGGAAATGAGTGTTTGTGCCGCCGTGATCGCTAGATAGCTCAATGTTGGTAACATGACTGCAGGGCTGTATGTCGCCCGTCGAGAATGACTTGAATGTGGATTGAATAGACAAAGAAAAGGGAGAACATACCTGTGCGAAATCGCGTCCGATTTCGATCTGTATTCTGACGGATTTGTAGATATCCTCCATGCCGCCCTGATAATCGACGCCGAGCTGTACGAAATCACCATCTTTGAGCTGATATGGTGCGCTCTCAGAGCCTGGACAGCTTATGTGGACATGATTGAGGAAAGTGCCTGATGATGATTTAGTGTCCTTGATGTAAATGTTGCCGTTGTCTGACCAGATTTCTGCATGGAGGCGAGAGAGTACACGCGTTTCAAAGGTAATTTCGTTCGTGGAACGGGCGTCTAAAGCTGAATGACCTGAGAGGCGACCAATGCGAATGGGGGTGTCGCCGTCTGTGAGGTTGCGGAAGATTGGCTCGAAATGGAAGATGTGGTTGGAATCGACGTACGGGACCAGGCAGATGCGGTGGGTGAGGGGGTGTGTGGCAATGGAGGGAACATCGTTGATGGGTGTAGTGCGTGACAATTCGGTGGCTGGGGGTCTTGAGGAGGTGAGTCCTACTTTGAAAGATGGGCTAATTTTGACAGTGCCTGGAGCAGAATGATATCGCTGTCGGGAAGGACGATAAGGAGTTGACTCGCGAGGAGGTAGGCCGGAAGTGGCTGGTTCGGGAGAGTTTGATGTTTCTCTTCGGCGTCCGCGCAGAAAGGAACCCCAAATGGACATGGTTGACGGTAGAGGTCATGGAGAATCAAGTACCCAGCTGAATGTCGGTACTTTATAATCACATCCTGAGCAGTGCCCTGAAAGCGAACAGCCTAGCTTCGGGCCTGGTTCTCGTAAGTTCTTACTTTTGGTTCAACTACAGCTTTTACTTCTCCCACCATCTGTCAAATGCTGTCCCTAGACTTTGTATTAGAAAATCAATGGCTCGTCTTATACTGATTACTACTAGTACTTGCCTCGTTTCTTGTCGATCAATGAATATTGATCAGACATACTCAGTAATTTTCGCTTGCCATGAGCAACTGTGACCTCTCGGTGAACAAAGTTAACCCCGCGCCATGATCTTTCCTCTTTAGGACACCCGTCAAGTCCCGGCCCCTGTTCCGGCCCCACCGACCTAACTAGTGGTGGAAAATAGATAGGCAAGTATAACGGTAGGCAGAGTTTTACAATGGAGCTGGAGTACTAGTCTGAGCAAGCTAAATTATTACAGGATATCATTAGGGGCTACTGAAATGATCACGCTGGTTCTTCATCCCTTGCCACCATGAACGTCTCTGGTCCCTCGCGACTGCATGGTCCACATCCGGTCCCTAATTCAAGAGAAAAAGACAACGATGAGGATCTTACCCGTATGGTCGCTGAATTAGGTCTTTCTGATGTTGAGAGATTGCAGAGCCTATATGATCACAGAGAGCGTCGAGGAAAGGGACCTTCTGATCGTGAAGTTGCTTTCATATTGCTGATGCAGAATGCCCGAGAACTTGCGGAATTTAATGCTGATCTAGCACTCGCCCAGCGACTCGCTGTTGATGGAGATGAGGAGCCTGATCCTACAGCTAGGTCAGGCTGCATATTGTGGAATTCACCCAAGCTAACATTGTTAAGCAGGCCAACACCGGCCGTTGCTCTCCAATGCGACATTGAAAAGTATGCACGCGAGTACAATGCTCCCCTGGAGTTCCTGACAATAACTTTAGAACTAGATCAAAGATGCAAACATGGAGTCAATTACTTGACTCCTTTCTTTTGACGCCCGTATCGAGTGGTCAGACAACACCAACCCCGGGTCAAGCGCCGACTATAACGGCTAGATGTCCTCCTCGGTGAGAGTCGTCATGATACTGGTGTAATGCTTAAACCGAACGAACCATTATACTAAGTAGGGCAACTGGTCACATCTGTGTGATTTGCCATGATCCTATCTTCGGAGAGGAAGTTCTGGCACCATGCAATCACTTCTTCGATATCAGTTGCATCACCGACCTATTCCGGTCAGCAATGCGCGACGAGCGCCTGTATCCTCCTCGGTGTTGCCATCAGAACATTCCGCTACCGCAAGTTCGGCCTCACTTGACGCAGGCATTCCTTACCGAGTTTGAACTCAAAGCCCAAGAATATGGGACGCTGAAGCGCGTTTATTGTGTCGAATCAACGTGCAGTCGTTTTCTCGGGCCATTACATGACGGGGGTTCCTCGAAGATCTTTACATGCCCGTCCCCTACATGCATGACGATGACATGTGGAAAATGTCGCGGGAGATACAAAAGATTCACCCACTCCTGCACTCCCGATGCAGAGACTGAGGTTGTACTCACGCTTAGCCGTGCCTCAGGATGGTCCCGTTGCCCAGGTTGCGCTCAGATGATTGAGCTTAGCGTAGGGTGTTTCCATATGAGCTGCCGATGCAAGACGGAGTTTTGCTATCTGTGCAGAGCATTGTGGAAGACTTGCAAGTGCCCCCGATGGGATGAGTCTAGGCTGCTTGCTCGCGCACAGTGAGAACGTGGGGTGAGTGCTCTGCTGCAGCTGTGGAGCATGTTCATCTTCCTCGAGAGGCACCTGGAATGAACGGTTGAGTCACCGCGTGTCACTGGCCCTGCCAAAATTCCCCTGGCCCACGTAAAGCACTGGTTTGGTGTTGGTGTTCCGGAGAGGAAATACGATAATCACTGTTGAAGATTTGAAGCAGCCATCAGGGAGGAACAATTAATACATACATCCCGAAAAAAGTATGAATCTCGAGGTCTTTGACTTGTGCATTGATACTGTGATCCGGTGCGATACTCTTATACTCCCCACCACGCTGCTGCACTAGCAGGGGTGTGCTAAAAGGCGAACGATCGAGCAAGGCATGATCTGCATGGTAACTTGAGAACCTTCGGGCCCACCTCGAACTTGAAGTAGACAGTACCACAACTAGATGATACTCGAAACACCGCAACCGTTGGAACTAATGAGCACCATGTTGAATTCTAAAGACAGTCTTAAGTGTCATCCGGTTGACCTTGCGAGGCTCGAGGTTCGAGTCAGAGTAATCGTTGGGCATGACAACAAAATACTCACCAGCCACAGCTGCGTATCATGGTCAACACTTTCTCTGCTCACAGCATCTAAGGTGCTGGGTGCCAACTTTTAAGATTCAGGGTTAACTGGCTTGATGCTCGACATTGACGAGGTTGCAGGGACAAAAAGCGACACCAGCAGGATTTGAACCTGCGCACGGGAACCGTAAGAGATATCTATGATTCGAATCTCTCGCCTTAACCACTCGGCCATAGTGCCGTGAGTGAGTCTCTCAGTTGTTTCGGTCAAGGATACATCTAAACGTGGGAAAAACGCACGTACCCACAAGGTTGCCGCAAGGGCGTCGACGTCGTCTCAACGCATCTACGTATTGTCGCGCACGACGTCAAACTTGCACTTCTCTCAAAATACATGCGCTCTGGCTCACAAGTTTACAGCGGGTATACCACTGTCAAGCCCGCCAAACCAATCCCGAATTCTTCCAGTCGATTCCGAGTCAGAGGAAAGAGCCTGAGATGAGATAACTCATTCCAAGACCACGACACAGCAGATCCCGCCCGTCCGGTGCACTGATACCTTTACTTCCTATGGCTCAGCCTCTCATGTCACATGTGTGTCCTACTTCGACCACTATCTTCACTCTCAATATTGCAGAAGACCAGCTTCACGCCTTTTTTTCGAGCCCCTCTTGCTTTCCTTTCGAACAGTAGAAAACAAATATAACGAGCTCCCACAGATTCTTGCTGGTTAATGGGAGCAGAGTGAGCTATCTGACGCGGTTTGCTCTGGGGTATGAGAAGACTGATACTAGTGCGCATCGTGGTAAACACTCTAACCAAGAAGATACTGATGCTGGAAGACAAACGGAATCTGGCTGACTTGAACAATGCAACAGCCTGCTTCATTTCTTGCTATCTTACTTCTACATTCAGATCTTAATTTTGTTATCTACTCGCGGACCGTGCACCACGTTACCGTCTCTCGAAATGCCACTCACAGCCGACATTTATTTCATCAACATGTCAAACCAAGTCGCTCGCGGAAGAGGAAGAAAGCGAAACCAAAGGTGGTTACACCATCCTCCGTCGAGCGTCTGGAATCCCCTATGGAACAGACTCTCGATTTGGCGGGTAACTTAGATACGCACGCAACTCGCCATAAGAGCGTTTCAATACCGTTAAAAGTGACTCGGTTGACCTTGCAAACCACGTTCTAACCCATACCTCAGAGGCTGCAGCTCCCGGTGCTTTTATGGTCGATATCTTACCATTCTGTAGACTGTGAGCTATATTATTCTGTCCTTTTCGTTGGCTTCTGATGACCTGACAACCTTAGTGGCAAAGATCCCCGCGTGGTTCCCCGGTGCTGGCTTCAAGTGCATAGCACGTGAATGGCGTGGGAGCCTTGAAGAGATGGCTTTTGCACTCCACGAGTTCGTCAAGGATCTGATGGTGACCAATTCGCATATTTATCGAAGTCCAAATTTTACAGATCGCTGACATCGCCCTTGTGTCTTTTACTTCGAATCTCTTGGAAGGTAGTGATGTGTCTGCGGAAGAGGAACATGTCGTGAAATGGTCTGCTTTGTCCCTATACGCTGGTGGTTCTGATACGGTCTGTTCTTAAATATTTATATTTCTAATCATCAGGTGGAACCCTTACCGGGTGTGACCAGGTATGTCGCATATTTTGTAATGTCTAAGACAGGCCTAGATTGACACACTCCAAGCCACCCCAAACCCTTCAAGTGTTCTATCATCCCTCTGCAACTGCCCTTGGGCTCGTTGAACAAGATGCTAACTACTAAGCTCACGATGGTGAGACCGGAGACACGCGCGGGGATGGCACATCGCATCGTCGTAATTTGTATGTTACACTGAGGAATTATGCAATATAGTTCGGGAATCATTTGCTTCCGCGGAACGAACGAGTTTATGTACTCATAATATTAACCTCGATATTTCGTCCTGCAGCCGCCCAATCTTTGCATGTTCACTAGGCTTAAAATGTCCTACTGGTCCTGAGGCCAAGTCTATAGCTTCAGTAGATGACGTATATATAGTAATCGGTACAAAACCGTAAACGCGTATGGACGTGGGAAGAACGCGGTTCATTACTTTGTGGTTGCTCGCAGCACTGACAAGCCACTGAACTAGAATGCCGACGCCGTCTGAGACGTCAACGCGCTCACGTTTGTCGTTGTCGCGCACGACATCAAACTCAACCACTACACGTACTTCCCTTAAGACGCGTGCACTCTCAATCACAAGTGATGCAAGCGGTTGTACGACTGTGAAGCCCGCCAAACTAATTTCGAATTCGAATTCTACTTCAAACATGCTCTCCACGATGCCGACGCACTTGAAGCGTCCTGGCACAGGTCCGCCCAGTGCTTTCCCGCGTTCCTTGTCTGCTTCCACTAGTAGCACTACAGGCTCGAATGGAAATCGAAGTGTGGTGTCATCAACCCCATCTCGAGCACGCGTCGTTTCCGAGACATCCATCCCAACTCCATCCCATCAACACCGTGCTTCAGTCAACCTCGCCTCTCCAAAACCCGCCATAAACTTTACATCTCCGAGTCCCGCAAAGCACAAGAACAATCCTTCATCCCCATCAGTCCGTGTGCTCGCAAGCTCTGCTAATTCCAATTCAACATCAGTATTTGGGAGCGGCGAAACGGCTTCCCTAACCAGGACCATCTCCACGGAGAGTACTCCGACAACTATACCCCCGTCTTCCGCGCCTAAGCCTCATTCAAGTAACACACCCTCAAAACCTTCAACAAACACGCCTTTGACCATTACGCCCTCTAAATCCTCTCCTCTCGCTCGTACACAGCTACAGCGTACACCATCAAAGACACCCAATATGGCACGATCCCCTGGAGCAAAAAATATACACTCCCCAAGTCCAAAAGTCCGTTCTCCTGGCTCAAACTTCGCAGGTAAAGAGCCTGTCGCCTTGCTGTCCGAATCGCTCGCCTCGAAAAACGGTATGGCTGCAAGTGCCATGGGCGGGACCAGAATAGGAAGCGTCTTCAGTGATGGTACCGGGAGCATCATCGGTGGTCCTAGACGCGTGAATGGACGCGTCACGAATGGTGCCGTGATCAATCTGAACGATGATACGGGTTTGGAGGATATATGGGATCATGAAGATGACGGGATGACGTTTGATATGGTTACGGATGTGGATGGAGAAGGCGATGAAGAGGTGAGTTCGTTTCGTTTTAGTGTTTCGTTTGTCTACTCTTTTGTGTCTGCGATTATTGGATTGTATGCAGCCTTAATGTCGTTGCGTACGCACGTCCTCCTGACGCGCACTACATGCACACATTTATTCCCGCTCATATCACTATCCAAACCCTACTTTCACGTGCATACATCCACTCATCCTTCTCTCCTCTCGCTTCTTTATCAAACCCACTAACTCAAGTCTACAGCTCGACCAAGCCCTCATCCAAATTCGCACCCTCCACACTTCCAAACTCCTTGCCTACAAGCGCCTCCTCGAACGCGCGCACGCAAGTAGTGCAGCGCAGGTTTATCATCTTCAAGCTCAACTTGCAGAATTGCGTTCTCAGTCTCAGGCTCAGGCGCAAGGATCCTTGCAACTGGATGGGGGTGAGTATTGTGTTTGTGGTGGGAGGAAGAGGGGGTATTGGGACGGTGTTAGTTGGGGGGATGTGGAGGGGGATGAGACCGCAGAGGGCGGCGATTTGGTAAATGCTATGAAGAAGCTTGATGAGAGGGCTATTAGGAGGGCTATGAGAGGGTTGGGGAGGGAGAAGCGGGGGAGGGTGTGAGTCTTTCTTTGTTATGGTTTGGGTTCCTGTGTTTTGTCGTTGGAGGTCGTGCCTGCTGATTGGTGCAGGGGCGAGATGACGTGATGGTCTATGGATGTATTCCCTCGTCTCTCTTTCCTTTTTTACTCCACTTTTTGTTGAAGACGCTGACACTTGCATTCTATCGCGTAGTATGCAGATCATACTCGAGTGTACGTCCCGCACATCTTCATAAAGGAGCGCTAGCTGATTAACTCTTCTCTTCCCCGACCACCCCAACAGCAACCCTCCCAGGTGACATCCCCCTGCAAATCCTCCTCCTCCAAAAATACCTCAAAAGCTCATTCGACATCATCGGTTTCCTCGCGCCTGAGCTCGCCCTTCAGATCTTGAGCAAGTTGAGCGTGAAAGAAGTTGTGAGGGCTGGGTTGGTGAGTGTTTTGTTGTGGGCTTGTGGGATGTTGGGGCATTTCGGTTCCGCTCGGATCCCTTTTTTCTTGAGACACTGGTCGGAACCATATGGGTACTGACGGCACATGACAGGTCTCGAAAAAATGGTACACCGCAACTCGTCATCCTGCATTGTGGAAGTGGCATTGTCTGCGCTTGACTGCCAATGATCCGGTCCGTGTGAGAGCACCAGCGCAGCGTGAGGGATGGTGAGTTCCCTTTCCTCGCTTTTCGTTTTCCCCCCGATTCGTACTCGCCCCTGTTTTTCCTCTCCATTGTAGGCCTAACACTTGCATTTACTGATTCTTTCAATGCGTTGCATCACAGGTACCCTCTCTACCGATCCCTGCACCACCGCGAGTCCAATTTTGCTCATGCGCTCCCACAGAGCATACGTTTCTTGAATGGACATACGAATTTCTGTACGACGTTGTTATTGAGAGGTGAGGGGCGTTTTGCGGGTGTTTTTTGGTGTCATTATTATTTTTGGGGAGGACGGCACTTTTTTTTAGGATGGGGAGGCTTTTCATGCTGACGAAGAGCCGTAGAATGTGAATCAGGGGAGGCTGAAGGTCAGCAGCTGTATTGCAAGTCCTGCTCTTCCAGCCACTCCGATTCACAGCCACTCTACCTCCATCCGCCCTACCTCCGGTGCTTGCGTGCCCCATTGACTCTATACGTAGGAGATGTAGAATGCGGATCAGGGGGGCTGAAGGTCAGCAGCTGTATTTAAAAGCAGGTCTTGCTCCTCCAGCCACTCTGATCCACAGCTATGCTCCATCTGTCACCCTTTCCCCTTCACATCTGCCTTTGCTCTCCCTAAATAAGGACTTTCGTTGATGCTTTCGCAGGCAAGCGCCTCATCTCAGGCTCCTACGACGAAACTATCCGTTTCTGGGACATCGACACTGGCGAGATGAAAAAGTGCCTGCAGGTGAAGAAGCCTGTGAGCTGTGTGGATTTCTTGGCGGAGGAAGGTGTGTCGTTTTTTTTGTATAGTGCATTATGCATGCTTGGAGCTCATGTGCCGAAGAGGTTTTCGTGGTTGGATTTCATGATGTTGGGTGCGTCCATTTGTGTACATCTGATATTTGAAATAAAATTATTGCCACAGCCGCGTCCACCTTTTTTCCTCCGTTACATTCACACCTCTTCAACAACTTGCCGGACACCTCAACGGTATCCGCGCCGTTGCACTTTCCTCCAAGAACCTCGTCAGCGCGGGCGCTGACAAGGCTCTCGTGTGTTGGGATTGGCGCGCCGGGACGAAGATCGTGAGGTTTGGACAGCAGACAACAATTAACATCGGTGTGCAGATTGTCCAAGGGGGCACAGAGGCAGAGGGGGAGCGTGTAGTGGGTGTGACTATCGATGGCATCGTTCGGGTTTTCTCGATTAGTGAGTTTCTGGTTTCTTTGCTGTCGAGTTTCTCTTTATTCTGTTGCTCATGGTTTGATGATGGTGCGCAGAGAGGAGAGAGATGATCTCGCAGTTCAAGCTCAATGAGCTCGGTGGTAGCGACCCTGTGTTGCATGCGAAGCTGTTTAATGTGGGCTCTGCACCTAATAATATGTTGCAGTGGTTCGCGGCCAAAGGCTCGCAGATGACTGTAAGCGTTGTACTCATCTTTGGTCTGCGTACTTCATTCGCTTCTCCTTAGTGCGCGACTAAATCCGTGATCTTGCATCTGCAATGGAACGAAGATGAAGACGAGAGGACTCCTGCCGAGACAACTACAATGAGCCCTACATTCACTGGAAGGACTCTTACCTCTCCTACGCCCTCTTCCCTTAACCCGAAATCACGCGCCGTCTCATCCCTTATACGGCCCACGCAGACGTCTACTCCCCAGCGCAGACAGTCTGCACTCGGAGTGAGTACATCGGGCTTGCCCAAATCGCGACTTTCGCTTGGGACACCTTCCACGCCTCTCTCCTCCAATATCAGCGCATCTCAAATTTCTGGTATATCACCATCTCCGCTCTCCCTACTACCTCGATCTGGCACTCCGCTGTCCCCGATGGGTGCACCGTTATCTCCTATGGGTGCGGTGGGTGCAGATGGGTTTGCAATTCGGTTCGGGCGCGCGGCAATTTTGACTGCACCTCCCAAGCTCGTTGCGCTCGTAGAGACACCTGATGTTGCTGTTGGCGCAGTGGATCCTAGGAAGAGGAGGGTAGTTACTGCTACGAGGTTTAGTTCGCGGGCGGGGGCTGATCGGAGGGTACGTCTGTCATTTCATTTTCTTACCCGAACCTGCTCCTCACTTGTTCATATCGTGCACCCAGATTCTGATGTCGACGCATCAAGACAAGGGCAAGATTGATGGCCTTGATGGTCCATTGGATGAAGACACGGGGCCTACAACGGACCATGCAAACCCGATGTTCTCGTCCCCGACGCCAAGCGTTGATATAGATGCAAATATCATTCCTTTGTCAGGCGCATGGGAAGCGCATGCTCATGCCACACCTGTGGGTATGAAAGGTCTTCTTGGTCCTTTACCGCCCAAGTTTGCGGGCTTGGCGATGCCAGAGAAGAATCCGATGTCGATGCAGCTCACACATGAGGAAGTAGTGGTAGGGTGCGCGGACGGGACAATTTAGTGA